AACTTGATCCCCTGCGCCTCCTGCCAGACATCCTACTGTCACAACACACTCTCTTACCACCATTCACTCTGAATCCCTCATCCCTCTGTCTGTCCCCAAGGGGAATTAGGATGACTTCATTCCCATGCAATTAAATGCTCTCATGCTGTCTGGTCTCTACAGTTCGCTCTGTGTGAAGAAGATGGCAGATTCCTCTCAGACGGTTGGAGTGGGGACCAAAGCAGAAAGTGAACAAAAAAAGTGACTTAATCTAATCTCTCTCCATTTTTTTTATCGATTGGAGGAACTCTGGATCGCAGTGATAACATACGCCAATTAGACAAAGCACCACAGTTGGTAGTTCTGTTGCATCAGAGTTTAAGTCTTCCACTGTACCTCATGGTTCTCACTCCACCTTATCTGCTGTCTGCTTTTTGAAATTCACTGAGTTACTGCATTTGCCTCTGGATGGAAAAATTGTAAATTGGATAGGAGTACATGGAGCCAAAGGGTACAGGAGAGTGCCCCAAATGATGCAATAATATGGAAAGATTAGAAAAAGTGGAATTTAACATCAGTGAACAAGCATCACACACTATGTAAATTTCTATCAGTGATTTTATTCCCTGTATTGCTTGTCAGTCAGGCAGTGCTATTAATACTATTCCTTCATATCCCATTTTTAAATCTGGTGACCCAACGGAAGTTTCAAACTATCTGCCAATTTCTGTTCTTCCAATTTTTTCTAAGTTACTGGAAAAAACATTATTTAATCAACTACTTCAGCATCTAGAAGCTAATAATATGCTAAGCAATAGCCAACATGGTTTCCGCACATCAAGGCCAACCATGTCTGCATTAATTTTATTCACTGAACAAATACAGTACGTGCTGCTTTGAACAAAGGTCAAGTAACTGGTGCTATATATATTGATTTTCGTAAAGCGTTTGACACAGTTGATCATTATACTCTCTTAAAAAAGTTGATTTCTTTTCAACTCTCATCATCTGCAATACAAATGTTTTCCTCTTATTTGACTGATAGGTGTCAGGTGGTGAAATGACCTAAATGACATAAATGACCTTCCAAAAATATTGAAGTATTCAAATATTTTAATGTATGCTGATGATGCTGTTCTTTTTTTGTCTGATTTCAATATTGAATCTATTAATAGTCAGTTACAAGCAGATCTTCAGACATTTCATGGTTGGCTTCAAGATAATCTTTTGTCAATTAATGTTAAAAAAACTGTGTGCATGTATTTTTCCTCACACAGGAGACATTTCAATATAACAAAATCAACTCACTTTTTTAAACAAACCCCTTGATATTGTCTCTACCTACAAATATCTTGGAATTACTTTGGATTCTCATTTGACTTATCGTGATCATGTACAAGTCTTAACCACTAAGTTAAAACAGAAATTATATGTTTATTCAAAAATTAGATCCAATCTGACATCTTCTGTTTCAAATATCTRTCTTCATGCCATTATACTCTCAACCATGTCGTACTGTTTACCTGTTTGGTCTCTTACAACAAATGAAATCTTAGAACCCATAGTTAGGCTCTACAACAGGGCCTACAAAATTCATAAAAACCTTCCTGGTTGGACTCATCACTGTACAGTTCTTTTATTGTCTGATGCCTTGACTTTTCAGAATTATGTTTTTTATAGTGGTATTAATTTATATTTTCAGATCTTCCAAGGTGCCAATTATGGAACTCTCTGTGCATTGCTGCCCAAATCGAATTCTGGAAGTGGTCATTCAACTAGATCTGTTGCAAAAGGACAACTGATATTACCAACTTTTAAAAACTGTTACGGCCAGAGGTCTTTCTTCAATGTTTATACTAAAGCATGGAATGACATTCCTCAAAACATAAAGTCCATTTCAAAACTACAGCCCTTTAAGAAGAATCTTGTCTGCCATCTGCTGGACACTTTTTGTTGTGCTCATATTTAGATGTCCCATTTTGCAAATGCTGCCTTTTTGAAATTTGGTATGCTTGTTTGTCTTTGTGTCTATGGTGTATAATGATGTGATTGTGATGCTGTAATTCTGAGTGTTTTATGTGCTGCAGAACAGGAACCTGCTGTAAAACAGCAATTATGCTGAGTCAGGCTTGATTTTTAATAATCTTTTCCTGTTAAATAAATAAATCAAATCAAATCAATCAATATACTGCATAATAATATCCCTTATACAGAAAAGCTGTTAAGGGTGCAGAGTTATGTGTGGTAAAATTGTCATTAAGGAACCAGAAATGTAATAATTATACATGCTCAGTAAAGGCAACTGGACACCCTTAATTCATTAAACACTATTTATCTAGCCTTGCCCTTGCCTTCCTACTCAGCTCCGATCAATTCTAGTTTCCCTTCACTGCTCCGTCTGGGACTTCTCCCGTTGAAATGGATTTCGCTGGCAGATTTTTAGCTGGGCCAATCAGAGAAGAGAACATCAATTTTCTGCGCAGCGTCTGCTTGTAGTTTATTTTACCTGGGCCAATCAGCAAAAAGAAGGAGGAGTTTTGAATGACGTCGATGTTCTGCGCAGTGTCTGATAGTTATTTTAGCATACGGCAGTGGAGGAAGTGAATGAAGCCAGTCTGTGTTGATACGGCTTCCAAATTAAATTAAATTTGTCTGACAAAGCAGCAGCTCTCATTTACAGTCGTCTCGTTTGGCTCGGTATATTTCTCCTCTCAGTAGGGTTGTTTACAGCACACGCGATTTCCGGTTAGCTTCTTAGCTTAGCCTCCTTCACAGCGACAACACACACATGCTTCAGCAGAGGCCACGCCTCCTGCAAGAAACGATTCTCTATGCATCAAGTCCAGACCCTTGTACGAAGCAAAGTGAAGGACAGGGTCTGGTTTTAACCAGGCTACCATTTATCTGAGGTTAAACTTTTCATCTAAAGTGTCTCTGGATTTTTCTACCAAAGTGGTTCAAGTATTAAATCAGGACCGGTGCTCCAGTGTGAAGCGGGTCTCTGCGGACACTAAGTGGGAGGTTCCTGTTGTGTGGGAGGAGTTATCCATGGCGTGATTGATCTCTTGACTTTTGTGGACGTAGTTTGTTAAAGACACGATTGGTTAGATTGACTATTTTGGGCAGGGTTTGAAGAACACTATTCAGCTGGAGGGACGTGTAGCTTGAATGAAATGGCGACAAAGCACCTATGTTTTTAAACATAAATATTAATTTTAGTCATAACTTGAGTCAGGAAGGTTACTAGTTGCACATAATTTGAAGGCAGATGAATTATGTTTACATGTTCACAACACTTATCATTTAAGACTTTGTTCAGATTTAAAAGTGGGGGGTTATTATGCATTTTTTATAGTTTAATGCAGTAACTGTTACCTTTAGTTGTTATGAAAATGCTTTATGTATCAAAAATAAATATGACTGCATCATAGCTAATTTAAATGCCTTAAAATTGGCCTCTGACTCTTTAAGAACACCCTACCGTTTCAAACACTCCCACTTCACTTCACATTTCTGCGAGGGAGGGGTGCTCTGTGAGACAGGAGCTCAGCTGGGGACTGGGGAGGTGCTATGGACAATAGKAGGGGCTGTGTACCAGCAAATGTTTAGGCACATGGCTACCACAGGAGATTCAAGGATTTTTAAAACATGCATGAATGAGTCAAAGCAACACTCTGGATGTGTTTTTGATGAGGAAATAATAACATAACATAAAGTAAAGTAAAAAAAGGGGGAAATTTTGCATTATACCCCCACTTTAAGCTATAAATAGACAGTAAATTATTGTGAATATGTAAAAATAATTGATTGACTATTACATTACGTTATCTTTTTACTTGCCCCACAAGACAAGTTAACCGATCACAGTTTGCCAAACTTCACTCACCCAAGAACCTCTGCCTATACTCYARACTCTGCCAATCACAATTAGGAWAAAYCYGCCCACACAGACAGGAACCTCCCCATATGTACTGCGAGACCACTACTTGGCTTGAGCCGRTTTTAGCGCCTGTCCTAACATCACTTAATATGTTTATCCACTTATAATTTWAACTTGCTGCTCCACACAGGGTCACAGATATAGCTATGTCTATATCAGCAGGTCAACAAGTGAAAGGAATGGTACATCCTGGACAGGTCGAGTCCATCACAGAGCCACATACAGACAAACGTGGAAGACAAACATTCACATTCTCACTCACACCTACAGATTGATCTAATGTGCTTTGTTTTTTTTTCATCATAAAATGGACCAACGGAACCTAAAATATCCCCACCAGTAAATYTTCTTTCGGTTGTATTCAGATAATAAATAAAGGAATTCTAAAAAAAAAAAAGATTTTCCATAGATAATCAAAGTACAGAGAGACAGTTTAGAGACCTAGATCAAAGAGTTTGTCTCATTATTTCTGAAAACAGATGTCTTAATCTCACAAATCTTGTTAAAAACACTTTTTAAATAACAGCTTGCTGTTCATAAAYGCGTCCTACAATCCCAATCAGCAATTTTGATCTCCAATCCGTTCTTATAAAACAGAACTACAAACGAGTTAGATGCCTCAGTTAAAATATGGTACATAAGCACCAGCTGGTGAAACTAAAATACATATATAATGATGTTTAAAACAGTATTTATAAAATCAGCTGAAAACAGAATTTGCGGAAGATGAGAGACAGTGTTATTCTGATCCTAATTTACTTTTATTAATGCTGAAGCAAACTTTTTCATTTTAAAATAAAGCAGACTAAAGTTTAAACTAACTACARATTTTAAAAATGGTGTTCCCATTTTCATAGGTTGTTGGTCTCTGTGACCCCACCTCCACTTTCTGGTGAAAGAGGAATTTTCTTCTAGTCGAGCAACAAGTGGGATCACAGGTGTCATGACATGGTTGAYTAAAACTCCACACTTTACATAAGCAAAGTTCCAATCTTTACCCCAAGTAGAACTGGGACATTTCATCATTTAAGAGGTGAAAATGTCATTGGKAGTATATCGGTCAAATCAGAGATGGCCCTACCTTTTTCTTGTTGGTTGGGCAGATGTAGAAACTTGTCACAACGATGGTTGTTCCTGGCATCARGTTCAGCTTGGTGTACGTTGTGCCATAGTCGGTGGACCTAAACAAAAGTTAGAAAGACAAAATAAAATAACAGTTAATCAGTAAGCTTAGCAACATTTGCGTGTTTRAGAGTTTTATGAAAATAATTTAAAAGCCCTCTAAATAAATGCTTTTTTGGATGGTTTCTTTTGAAGAATTTTGTATTATTTGGTCTTTTTTTCTCCTATTTTTTTCTTGTATTCAAATGACTGAAACTCTGCAAAAAAAAAACCTTTGGTGTGACAAACAGAGTAAGAACCTGTGAAAAAGTGACATGCTTATTTTCTCAACCTGCCTAAAGGCGCCTTATATCAGCTCTCTGTTCACCATATGACCACATTATGTCGTGGTGTCTGCGCCTGGTGACAAATCAGGAATGGCTGGTCAAGCTGTGATTGCTGCAATGATGCAAAAACAGCCTCGGGCTGGCTGTGAAGTACWGACCAATCCTCAAATCTGGCAGCTTTAAAGGCAGCTGTCGAGTGCTGTGTGTGTTTYAGATGTATCGCTACCTGCAATCCAGCTCAGGAAAGCTCATAAAGCCAAGCAATGATGGCAGCTTCTAAGTACCAGGTCTCCCCTCAGCAGGGATACAAGATAACAGCACATGGAATAAATATTTAATATRAAACTAATCTCTAAAACATTCTCCTCAACCCTCTAATTTTGGGTAACTGATGGCCCGCTGACCACATGACTCCCCGCCGGCCTACTAACRAGCCACCATTTAAAAAAAAACAACATAATGTTAAGACAACCCTTTGTTTAGTCTGCTTAGAGACAGTTTACTACTAGTCTCCACTACACGTTGCACAAAGCTAAATATGAGAACCTTTCTGAAGTCGCAAGTATATAAAACAAGTTTTAAGAGAACCACAAAAAAAGCAGGAGACTGCACTCAAGGCATCTTAGCATAAAATAAGTGTTCATTTTTTGTTTGCTTATAAACTTTATGTATTTGTATTTATCAAACAAGAGAACAACTTATTTGAGCAAAATATATGTTAAGTATGGTGGTTTAATAAATATATATCCAAACATTTTTAAAACGRCATTTAGGTAAATGTGCAGAACTATGTGGCCCTATGTTAGTGTCAACAAAATAATGTGGCCGTTTCCATCATTTAAGTTGCACATTACTGCTGTAATAAGTAACAGAATTGTTAAGACTTTGCGATTACTTAATAAAATTCAATTGGCACACTTTAGGACAGAGTTTTAGAGTATGATCATCTTATGTTAAGAAATGATAGAGGAAAGGAGAAGGTGAACTTGTGATTGAAAGGCTGCCGGTTCAACTCCCTGCAGCAACAGCAAACATGTGGGTAGGAAACTCATCTGCCCCACTCTGGGCCTTTGAATAAGCTCCTTGACCCCTCAGCTGCTCCCTGCGCACCTTAAATGACAGCCCAAACTGTCACGCTTAAATTGTGTGTTGTGAATACTTCTTGGCTACCATCACGTCAAACTAAGTAGACATACTCTGCTTTAAAATCTTTTTTTCTTTTACATTTAAATCATTTTGGTGGGGTCTGTATAAAGTGGAACTGCAATGCTTTGATCTGAATTCCTCCTTATTGTGACTCCACAAGCCCCTCTTTAACAACTTTTTCGAAGTGTGTCTCAGATCAACTCGTTTTGAGGCTGTCTCTTTAAATCCAAAAGAGGCATATCACACTCTGCCCCTCCTCCATCTTCCAGATGGTCTATTCTAGTTTGATAGAGGGGTTTATGACTACATAGCAGCACAGACAATTTTTATTTACAATTTAATTGAAAGATGTTAACAAGGGAAGACTTGTCCATCCAGCCTTACATGTTGGAGCCAGAGTCTGACCCAGAACCAGAGGAGAATGAACGAGGATGAAGTAATAGTTGGTAAATCCAGACATTATTTGGCAGTTATGTTACAAATAATTTGACGTAATAGTTCAGAAAATGTCATAGAAAATAGAGAAAACTAAACAAGTTGTAAAATATGTCCCAAACAAGATATAAAGATGTCTACGCAGCCCCAGGAGAGACTAAAATGAACTTTTCTGYACTCTTAGATACTCTAGTACACAACAAAATGTATTTAATGGCATATGTCTCCTTTAACTCATTATCTGTAAAACTGACTTATAGCTAATTTTGTGTTGGCTAATGTTGATTAGCTAAATCAGCAATCTTACATGGAATTCACTTGATGTAGGTAGGGGTGTCCCGATACCAGTTTTTTCAAGACTGAGTACAAGTACGAGTACTTCAGTTTAGGTACTCGCCGATACGATACCGATTCCAATACCAAGTAGCGGGGTTCGTGTGGATTATCTGTTCAACTTGTTGAATATTAAACAGAATGAAAATGAAATGCAATTATCATGCAAAAATTGATGGGTAAATATTATGTTTGACAATAAAAAGGTAGTGCAAACTCTGACAAGTAGATAAGTTGGTATATAAATCACACCATAACTTTTGAAACCATTTATTTTATTTCAAACAGGCTCTTTTTTATAAGGCCACACTCCCTCTGAATGTATTAACAATACAAATACTGCAAAAACAAATGCTGTTGCATACATTAAAAAACAAAATAAGTTATTTTTATACATTTTCCTCAACATGCAACTACCAAATTTAAATTAAAATGTAAAACGTAAATTTTAGCAGCACATCTATAGAAGTTTACTCTGCTTCAGTCTTAAACTGTTAAAAAAATGACTAATAGTAATAAAGTGCAGTAAATTTCAGTTCAAACTTAAATGGAACAACTAAAACAAAATCTCAGAAGAACCAGGGGGAAAAATAAAATGTTTTTACAAGAAACTTCCTTCCATATTCTGCTTATGTCTTAGTTTGTTCTACAAGAAAAAAAAACAGCATTGAAGTTACTGCAACACCTGCAGCATAGTGCTGTTTATGAAGGCTACTGCTAGCAGCAACAAACTCTTTGAATTCTTTGTCATGTCTTGTCCTCAAATGTTTAATCAAATTGCTGCTGTTAAAACATCCAACTTTCGCTCCTCCTCTTGACAGTTTAGCAGAGCACAGCAGACAGTCTGCTKGTTTGGTGTCCTCGTTTGGTGGCCGATCTTAAAATATCTCCAAACTGCCGACATTACTTCTTYTTCTTCTTCTTCTTCTCATCGTTCTTCTTCTGTTATTCGGGGGTGCGGTCGGAAATAACTTGTCAGTACATTAGCGCCCCCGCCTGGTATGGATTGTTGTTTACCTTTGTGCTGCAGCGCAGCACAGGAGGAACAAAAAAGGGGACAAAAGCGGTATTGGTTAAGAGTATCGGCCGGCTTTTACGAGTACGAGTACGAGTACTTGATGCTGGTATCGGTATCGGGACACCTCTAGTTGTAGGGTTATCTACAATTATCTAATGATTCCTTTCTGAAAACCCAGCCAGTGGTTCATGAGATATTTTGCTAAGGTTTACGTTAACAATAATGCTTAGTAGTACCACTTAGAGTATGTAATGTGAATTACTCAAAGCTACAACCACACCTGATTTAAGCACGATTTGTGTAAAATTGACTGCATTATGTCTAGTTTCCTATTTTCTAAGGGAATTTGGCTGAGGTAGCCATATTAAATAAGGTTTTCTCCAAAAATGAATCAGTTGTAGAAGTGCATCCAACAATTGTTTCAGTTTAGGTTTATTCAAATCTGCCCAGTGATTTGGGGATATTTTGCTAACAGATTCATTTCAAATAGTTGTTGGCATTTTTAAAGCAAATCTKTTAGCTTTTTTTCATTGGTGTGCCAGTTTGACAGCCTTAGGAAGGCTATTTTARAAGTGCTTCAAAGTTGAGGCCCCAGTGTTTATCTGAGGGCTGAGGGTTCAGCAGGACCAAGAGGTGGTGATAAAAGAGAATGATAAGCCTGTTTAAGAGTGAGAGGATTTACTCCTCCACATAGTGGGACATCAGCCACTGACAGACACACACTCACACACACTTGAAGCCTCACCAAGACATTCTACAATCAGCTCGCTCAGAATGCTCTGGTACAGCTGCTGAAAACACAGCAGGACCGAGCTGTTTCTCTGCGGTGCGCCAACGAGTGTTTTCATCCTCCTCGCCAAGCCTGTGTGTGGTGTTTAACCTGAGATCACTCAGAGGACACGCGCAGATCACTCGGTGATGGGCTGTGTTAGCAGCAAGAGCCCCGCACTTATCTCTAAAACCCACCTGTGGATGGAGGAGGGCCTTTCAGAGCCAAGCAAGAAGAGCTGGGTGAAAGGGCACGGACTACTCTGATATGTCTAGAAAAACACCATCATGAGATTGTGTCAAGTTTTCTATTTAGCAGCTAAATCGTCAAGTAGTTTCACCTTTTGTTATCGCCAAAGGTAGGAGGAGGAAGCAATTTTATTCTTGCCCATGCCAGTGTGTGTGTGTGTGTGTGTGTGTGTGTGTGTGTGTGTGTGTGTGTGTGTGTGTGTGTGTGTGTGTGTGTGTGTGTGTGTATTCCTATACTATTAGGGGACTATTTTGGCACAAACACCTACTTGTGGGGACCAACTTGTATTTATGGGGAC